CCAGCGAAAAATTTCACAAAACACAATAAACCCATCAATTTGTATGGGCGTAATAAATTAGGCCTGCAGCTGGACAACGTAGCAGTCAAACCACAGCCAACGATTTAAACGCCCAAGACGAACAGAGACGTCAAACCGCGCCTAAGGGTTAATGCTATTATGACTTGACCTGGGATCAAAACCAGGCCGCCACAATGACCAAGCCAGTGACTGCCTGCCTGAGCTATGACATGACCTTATATGCAGGGATTGAACAAATAATTGAAACATTACTGATACTGTACACATTTCTTTATTAAGACTTTGCGGACTGTACACGCATTAATACGTTTCTCGCTTTTAAACGTGGCGGACCGGTCGCGTATTAATACGTTTTTAGAACACGATAAGTTGCAACACACTATACATCGCTCTGGCGCCACCTACATTGCACGCAACTGCCTGCAGATGCGTGATAAGACTCTGGAATGTTTAGTTAGCAGTCAGTAACTTGACCTCGCTGTTTATTTAACCGACTATAAAGGAAAATGCTTTGCCTTCTTCAAGCTGTGTGTATCAGCCAGTAGCTAGTGGGGAGAATGGATCAAGGACAAATTCTCCTCCGATGACCTAGCTGACCTGCCTTGTGAGACGCATAGTAACGGATTAATTTCATTCAGACAGTGACAGTGACGGGGGACAACAAAGAATTGTGGCCACAGACAGTAAAAGTGACAGTAGCTCCGACGATAATGCGGATAATAACATTGCGTGTAGTAACATTGCAGGGACAGCAAAAAATCTAAACCCTGATTCAAAATTGAAATACAAAGCATTTCTGATGAATGTGGCAGAGGCCTGGGCTACATTCCAGATGGTGGCGGCAGAACAAGGGTCACACAAAGACTTAGTACGACCGGGCCCATCAACTCCCACCCCACGAAGGCCTCATGCGGACGCCCCAGGGTGACTCTCGAGTGATATGCGGAAAAATACCCTCATGAAAATTGTGAAAGGTGAACATTCCAAGGGGAAGAATCCTTCTAGGCAATGCCATGTTTGCACAGTTCACAAAAAAAGGAGTATGTCTACATTTGCAAGTTCTGTGTAATGCCACTTCACAAAGGGGAATGTTTCCAGAAATATCACATCCTCAAGCACTTCTAGGAGCGTTGGCAAGTGTTCTCCAAAAATTTTAGTTCAAAAAATTAATTAGAAGATTTTATATTAATTTTCAAAGTGAACAGTGCACAAGTTAGGGTAGTATGTTTAAAAATGCCGGTCCCCTGGGTGATTTAAATCACCTGTCCTCGAAGTGTTAATACGGTGTTCAACCACTGACTTCATGAGCCAAAATAGCTGTCAGTATACTGACTAAACTACAGCATGCATGACCATGTAATCCTGATTTCATTCCTAGTGAGGGCAAGAGATTTTTATCCTGCAACCAGCTATGGGGCTCACCCAGCTTCCAATTCAGTGGCATCTGGGGAGTCTTCCCCCCGCCACATGGTAAAGCAGTTGGGGCACGAAGCTGATCATTTGCTTCAGACTACAGATGAGATTAAAAATTAAGGGAGCTACATCTCAACTCCCCTTCCCATTTGTCTTCATGGTTTCAATTAAGCACAGGGGCACCAATATTTTTTATATAAATGATTTCAGCTTACCATCTTTGTCCCTCCCAAAACCACCACCTCTGTCACTTTCAGGATCGGGCACTGGTTCCTCCTTCGGTCGTGAACGCCAGTCACCCAAAGTTCTGTCCGGTCCATCGAGGCGATCTCGGTTCATCTCACCTCGATCACGACCCCCTCGACCTCTACGATCACTGTCACTGTTTTCTGCCACTTCAATACGAATACGTCTACCCCTCACCGTCTGAACACAAATACATTATGGGTTCACAAAAACAAATCATTTTAACATCTAGAAAAGTGTTCAAGCTAGAATCACCTCACTTCTTATACTACATCTGACAGTAGAATAGACAATGTTTTCTAATGTAACTTTCAAAGCTAGACAAATCCACACATTGCCAGCTGTGATTCTCAGCATTATGGTCCATACAAAATGAGATATGAAACATAGTAATTACTGTATATTACATGTGTACTGAAAATGGTAGAAGAAATATCAAATGTTAGTTCATAGTCTAACAACATAACTTCTACTTCATGATTTTCTTAAAAATTCCATTTACATTTCTATGATGTCTAGCACACCTATTTTTAGCAAATGATCCATAATTATCAACATACAGTGTCAACCATTGTGAGGGCACTAATAAGGCTGCTGCGGCTTCCAAACTCAACATAGCCAAAACCCTTTGCCCTGCGTTCATCTCGAGGAAGGCGAATATTTGTAACCTGCAAACATGAAAAACATTGACATGAACATACAATCTGGAGACAATTTTCTTCCCATATACCAGAGCCAACAGGGATACTTCAGTAACTTTACCTCTAAACTCCTAAAGAAGTTGGAAATGTCAGTATCTTCTACATCATATGGCAAATTGGAAATATATGCCAAAAAGGGTGGGACCTTGGGGACTTTCTCATCATCCAGGTCAGGGCTCCTGGTGGCCCTTGGAGCTGTTGGAAGGATGACCTTCTCCTTGCGTCCCGTATCAAAAATTTCTGCATAGAAAAAACGAATACCATGTTATGGTACACAGACAGAGCTTTCCGTTTGTATTTCAAAGTCACAAGTTTTAAATTTCTGCCTATAATGACAGCTTCCCACTGCGCCAACTACAGGGGCTATAACCTCAGAATACATCATACTGACTTCCCCAGCAGTCATTTCTATATATTACATATTTATAATTCAAACAAAAACGATTCTTGTTCACTTGAAAAAAACATGGTTAGCATGAAAAACAATGTCAGTCAGATATTTATCTTAATTGTTGTAAATATTTAATTCGTCTTGCAAATTTTTTACAATGATGTTTCCAACAAAGTCGAATTATTAATGTCTGGTTACTGGCATATATCAATTACCATGCTTCAGTAAAGAATAACATGCTTACATCAGTCCATAGGCATGTCTGACAAAATACATATTTGTCAATAATAATTTACGTCAATGAATTTGAATCAAGAATGAAAATGATGCCTACCATCTTCATTCTCAACATCATCAGCCCAACTGGATGACTTCCGTGTAATCACGGTCTGGCCAGCACCTGGGCCTGAAGAACCATCGGCTAAAAATTCCGTCAGGCCGAAGGTTTTACCCTTCATTTTTTTGTTCTTCTTTCCTAGAACAGAAAACACATCCGAGCTGCACGAAGTATTTTAACAATAATTCACCCAGGGGATTAAAAATATACACACATCAAGCAAAGGCATTTCGTATTAACATTTCGACTTATTTATGTGGCCACGCTATAGTTCATATCTTAAATTTCCAAATGAACCTAAGCAATGATTATTCAAGCTGCCATGCAACATCTCGTTAATGTGGCCACGAGGTGACTCGTGAAAACGCTCCAGGTGGAACAAAAATTTCCATATTTATTTTTCCTTTACAAGTAGGAAAATAAATAACTAACATTACAGACATTGAGAGCATATCATTAAAAAACGTAAAGTGTATAAAACGTAATCGATTCCTAAATAATATATACAATTCTGTTCACGTGACAAACACTTATAAAACCAACCTGCCGCAGCCATCTTGAAGAATCGCCAGCAGTGCAGACACTCTTACGCTACTGCTCCGGCATATATTCCTTGAATTTTGTATTGCAAAGTTCGGAGTTCATCCGTGCTTATTAACGTTTCTGAAGTTACATTTCTGGCACTAAATAAATCACAAAATTTGTATTAAGAATAGACCGCTCATGTAGATAAACACGTATTCGTGAATAATTATATTCATATAAATTATAAGTCAAACAACAGATATGATAAAAATGTATATTGTTGGCTACATTGATTACAATTATGAAAACTATGAAGGACATGTCCTGTGGAACAAGAGACGAATGGAAAGCGAATGGTAGGCGGGGTTCGGTGGGGGCGGAAAATTGATTTTGTGGGAAGTGGTGTTCATTTTGATTTATCCAGCGCATTAAAATGGTAAAATGTTACTTGGAAAAGTAAAGGCTGTGCTGATAAAGTTATATAATTGGCATGTGAACATGTTTCTCCGAATATAATAGACAAGCTCAAATTCGATTAAGCTGTCAAAGTTGAAATAATCATTTGATGTATGAAAATATAGGTTTATCACAGCGGCAAGGTTTGCGTTAGTCTGGGTTTTGATACCATTTAGTGGGATATGTGGTTACTTAAATTTGGGGGAACTATGCAGCCTCCATTTTCAGTGTACCCACAGTGTTATAACCCAAATAACACGGTCTAAATATTCATGTACTGATTTTTAAGGCTGACGATATTTCTTTCAGAGTGAACTGGGATTGAATGAACATCACCAAATGATTATTATGAGTTACATGAAATTTGCAAGATATCAGCGTATTCAGAACCTAAAAGCTATTGAATATGCCTTCAAAGATGTGTCAGAATCAAGGTATTGTTGGGTGTGAGATACTATCATTTTGGATGTGACACCATATAGTCTGCTAGAAGTTTACCGAAGTTTCGGATAAACGTATCTTCATTTACGTGGTCGAATAGTAAGCCAGACAATTAAACCTGCAGCTTGCTTCTTCCTGGTTGCTTGTGTGGCTTATGCTTTGACCCTTCCGATGGAGGCAGTGCATTCCTTCAGAATGTCCGTAAACTTCTATCAGGCAAAGAGTGTTGCATTCCAGTGAAGGTTATTCTTTGCTACTTAAGTTGTTTGATATAAGGAGTTGAGTGGAGTGAGGGTAAAAATTAGAATTATGAATCTAAGTGGAAGGAATGACACTGGCCTGTTTCAGGGTACAGTCTTGTCAGTTATCAGTATTGACAGTATATAACTTTATAATGAGGGAAACAACAAAAATCATCAGGATATCCTGTCCTTCATAGGTAATTTTTACTTATAATGCTGCTGGTTAAGAAACAAGGTTGTAATTTACACAGCAGTGTTTATTAGGTTCAGGTTACTGAACAAGAACATACATAAACATGGTTTGAAGTATGTTGTTCCTTTGATGTGTTAAAAGAGTAAATTGATGTTTAAGTGGCAACCATTCAAAATAATGATGAAATACACCATGTGGAAGAAGTTTCCATGTGTCACAAATATCCCAGCCATCAATTTAGCAGGATATGTTTCATGTTTAAGACAAGTCATACTTTTTAAAGATATTTTAGTGCATATAGGTAGAGGCTCAGTTGATTATGTGTACATACATGATGCTTTATGTGTCTTACACATTAATTTTAAGAGCTATGACTTTTTTTGACCAGTGATATAATTATACATTGGATAATTAACAAATCCTTTGAAAACGTGGTAAAGTTCAAATGTTTGGGTATGAAAAGTAACAGGCAGAAGGGCATTCACAAAGAAAGTAGAATCATGTTAAATTTGGGGAATGCTTGATGTCATTCACTTATAATCCTATCTGAAGAAATTAAAATTTATAAAACTGTAATTTCTCTTTTTCTTTGTGCAGGCGTGAAGCTTTCATTTTGCATTAAAAAAATAATGTAGGTTAAGAATGTGTGAGAACTGAGTGCTGAAGAGAGCTTTTGAATCAGGAAGGAGGAAGTGACAGCAGGATGGAGACATTTGAAAATTAGCAGTTTCATAATTTGTACACTTTGCCAAACATTAGTACTGTGATAGAATGAAGGAAGATGAGATTGGTTGGGCGTGTAGCACATGTTGAAACTATAAGATATTTATATGCAATATTGGTTAGAAAACCTGGAGGGAAGAAACCACTTTGAGGGGCTAGGTGTATATGGGAGGATAAACTAAAAGGAATCTTATGGTATAGGGTGGAAGGGTGTGGACTAGATTCATTTTTTTCCCCCTTGGCACTACAGCCCCACTGGGCCTAGGCCTACCTCCATGAACTTCTCCGTTCACTTCAGTTTTTCTAGATCTTACACATTCGGTAGGACTCCTTGGGTGGGTGATCAGCTCGTCGCAAGGCCTCTACCTGTACACAAACACAGAAAGACGCACACACACAAACTAAACATCCATGCCCTGAGTGGGATTCGAACCCATGATCCCGGTTTCCAAGCGAGCGAAGACAGTACATGCCTTAGACTGCTCAGCTACCATGACCGGCCTAGATTCATTTAGCTCAAAATAGGGACCACTGACAAACTATTTCAAAGAGAGTAATAAACCTTTCAGTTATAGCAAAGGTATAATATATCTTGCCTCAGCTTCTGAAGAGAAGTTTAGTTATTTTCACTTTACTTCTTATTTGCAGTTTACTGAAATTTTTTTTTTTAACTTTTGTGCATAGGTATTAGCATCACTGTTATTTTCACAAGTCTCGGGTCTTCATTTTTCTAGTTGGTTATCAGATGACCCTCTCAGTATTCATACTATATGACAATTGGTGGTCTGGTCTAGCTAATATCCCAGCTTTGCCTGGAGGAACTGAAGAAAACTACAAAATCCTCAGTCAGGGTAACTGGTGTTTAGCTGACTGAAGCCAGGCATTTTGCAAATACAAGTACAGAGCGTTAGTAGTAGACCAACCCTGTTCAGTGTTATATTTGTTAAATATCCTTTCCATATCCCATCTTAATTTGTTTTTGTTATAGTAAATGTGTATATTTCAGATTATTGGATGATACATATACAGGTGATGAAGTGCAAGAATTACTGCTTGGTCTATGCAAAGTGGTTCGAGCTGACATTGAAACAGAACTCATCAGTTCCACACATATGACAGTTCTGCTACTGAAGCAGTTATTTGAACAAGCTGAGAAATGGCACCTTAGATTACAGGCTGATCTCTCAGAGCTTGAAAATAGGTATGTCATGAAACACTGATCAGTATTTAAAATGTAATGTTTGGGGTCTGAGAATCAAATTTCTGTAAAAATTATGTGGATCTAGAAAAATGTATAGAAAAAGTGGCCTTTCTATGATTAATAATAACACAGGTCTGCAAAAATAATTTTTTTTCAGCTGCTTGGAATATTTTTGGTAAACTATATGTTTTCTAGGATGCTGAATCCAAAAATGACCTCAATTTCCCCCTATCACGTACGGTTTCTTGGAAAGTAATAGGGGTTTACAGTAAAAAATCATAACAGTGATGAAGAAAATCACTAATTTTATTACATTGAACTAAACATATTATTTCTCTTAATTAAACAAACAATTCCTTCATGATATATTTAACATTATGTGTTCAGAAACCTTTTCTTCTTCTCTTTGATGCTCCTCCGAACACGCTTTCACTTTCCATTTTCCGTTTCCCACTTGATCATCCAGCAGTAGTCAGCTAGCATATTCGCATTCCATCTTCCTTGGTAGTGTCTTTCGATATCACGGACATGCTGGTGAAATCGTTCAGCCTGCTCTTCACTATAGGCTCCCAAGTTTTTGGGAAAGTAGTCAACGTGGGAGTGTAAGAAATGAACTTTTAAGCTCATCTTGCAACCTTGAGCTTTATATGCAGCCAACATGCGTTGTACATTGGTTTTGTAGAGAGGGTCTTTAGGGTTCCCCAAAACCTTGTGCACTGCATCTTTGAAGGAGTCCCATGCTTCTTTTATTTTTCTCCCATTGTTTCTGAAAAGAGGGGATCGGTTAACAGTTTTCATATGTCGGGACCAGCAAAAACTCCCTCTTTCAACTTGGCTTCAGACAGTTTTGGGAACTTGGAACACATATATGTGAAACATTCTCCATCTTTTGGCAGTGATTTTACAAACTGCTTCATGAGCCCTAATTTAATGTGAAGAGGTGGTAATAAAACTTTTTCAGGTGGAACAAAGATCGTATTAATTACGTTTTTTTCACCGGGGATTAAGGCATCTTGAAGTGGCCAGTCAGTTTTTGTCCAATGGAGGTCTCTTGTTCAACTGTCCCACAGGCATAAGAAGCAGGGATGTTTTGTATAACCTGCCAGCTGGCCCAACAACATGGTTAATATTTTGAAGTCTCCACAAACCATCCATTGATGTTCTTGATAGTTGACTTTCTCAAGAATCACAGCCAAATCGTTATAGTTTTCTTCCAAATGCACCGAGTGTCCCATAGGAATTGATGCAAATGTATTTCCATTAT